ATAAAATTAAAAAAAAAAGAAAATTATAAAAAAAATTACAAATTATAACTAATCGAATTGAATATGATTACGAATATAGAAAAACTTAAAAGTGGCCAAAGAGATTAAAAAAAAAAAAAAAAAACTACTATTATAAGAGACCAAATACAAGTACGTAAGCCAGAAGGCAGTGGTGAGACGGCTTTAAACTGCTGCAAGAAAAAAATAACAAAAATACAGCTGGGAACAACGGTGCTCTGCCTATACTCAGCAGGATGTCAAGTTTCAGACCAGCCTAGGCAGTTCAGTAACTTAGTGAGACCCTTCCTCAAAAAATTAAAAGGGTCAGAGATGAAGCTCTGTGAAAAGGTCCTAGGTTCAATCTCAGTATCCCAAAACAAAACAAAGTGTGCTCAGAATTCTATATCCAGCAAAAAAGGGTATCTTTCAGAAATGAAGAAAAAATAAAAACCTGCTTAACCAAACATACAAAAGCTAAAATAATTCACTACCAGCAGACTTGTATTGCAAGAAAGGCTAAATGCAATTTTTCAAGAAAACAAAAAATGCTATTTTTTCAAGCAAAAAGAATCTGATACTTAATTTCACATTGGGTCTATGTGATCAAAGACCTACACAAATACATATTGAAGGCCAATATAAAAGACCTCTTACTTTTAATCACTTTTGCTTTAGTTGTCTAAAACAAAAATACAGTATTAGTATAAAAGTAAAATACGACAACATTAACACAAAAAGGAAGACCAGAGTACACAATTTTTGATGTGATAAGTACCTCTGAGCACAAACCTTGTATGCATTATTTACATGACAAAGTCCAAGTAATTCATTGTCATCTTCTTCCCATTATTTAAAGTAAAATATCCCTACATCAGCAAAACAAACTACTTCCCATTTCAAAATATCCATGGCTTTTTGTACGTAACCTTCTTAATGCATGAATTTCTACTCCAAATTAAGATCTGAATTAAATGTTATACTCTTATTATTTCTCCATGTATCAGTCTCCCTGCTAGACTACTATCTTAGAAGTCATTCTAAGATTTCAGTGCTAAGTATTCAACGAGGATATGTGGAATGGAACAGATGAAAACATGACTGGCTATTAACAATTTTCAATAAAAGCAAAGTGCAGATTTAACTGAAGTAATTAGTAACAATACCATTTTTTTTTTTTTTAAAGACAGTCTCACTATAGTTCAGGGTTCCCTTGAGCTCACTACACAGCCCAGGCTGGCCTTGAACTTGGGCAGTCCTCTTAAATCAGCAACCCAAGTGCTGGGATTCCAGGCATGCACCACCATGCCTAGCTAGCACTACCATTTTTATACCTATCATCCTGGCAATCTTTAAAACACCACTGTTCTTACTTCTTTTTCTTCTTATTTTTGCCCTGTAGTGCTGGTAACTGAATCCCAGCCCTGGAACATGTAAAACAGACATGCTACCATTGAACTTCACCCCAGCTCCCAATTATTATCTCTTTTGGGTTTGTCTATCTTGGAAGACTCATTTGGTAGTTACTCCTGTTAACATTATAAAAGTCTACACAAGCTCTGTTAGGACACTGGGCTGTCACAATCCCTATCACTTACACCGGCTGGGCGGGCTGATATCCATCACAGTCAGAGTAGGATTGTCTATGTCGCTTCCCCTCCTCCGGATTCGACTTTCGTCATATTCTGGGGTGAAGATGCTGCTCCCACTACTAGTGCTTAAGGAGTGGTCGGTGGGACTAAAATTTACAGGAGACCGAAAGCTGGTCCCCTGGGTCCTTCTAGCTCTTGGAAAAGTTTTACGACCTACAAAAATGAAAACAGAATTATTTTACTTGTAATAGTGTATGTACTTTTAAATTATTTAAAAATTGTAATGCAGGGAACATAAACTTGTCCTGGACTAGGCTAAATGGTAATGATGGCCATAATTCTGGGGAAAAATACTAGGTTCTGAATATAAATTCAGATCCTGATATGGAAAAATGTTCAGATACACACAAACACATGAAAACTATGGAATACTAGTCCATCACTTCCTAATAAAAGATCAAAACAATCTTTTCCCATTTCTATTAACTTTAAAATATAAAATAACAGCTAGGCAAGACTATAATCCAAGCACTTGGGAGACTGAGGTAGGGGGAATTACCATGACTTCAGGGCCAGCCTGGGCTACATAGAGCCATCTCAAAGTATATACAATACAATTCAACACAACAGCCAGCAAGCTAGTTCAGCAGACTAAGCGCCTGCTTAGGCAAGTGCGGGGACAGCGTCCAATCCCTGGCACCACGTGCCACGCCAGCCCAGGCACACTGAGCTGGCCACCAAGACCAGGCATGATGGCACACGCCTACAGCCCCAGCACTGGGGAGGCTGAAAACAGGAGGATGGCTACGAGTCCGCGCTGTGTAGTAAGACCCTGTACCAAATACATTAAAAGAAAAAAAAAAATTAAAAATAATTTTAAAAGTTCAATACGAAAGTCAAGAAGTTATAGGCAGCAAATGTTTTCTCTACTGGACAATTCAAGTATCAATTTCACTGTCAAGAGTAATGTTCTAATTAGTATCATTTGAAAATTACTCCATTTAAAGGAAAGACAAGGTCACGAGAGCCAGGCAGTGCTGCATGGCTGTAATCCTGGCACTCTGGAGGCTGACAGGAGAATAGCCCCAAGTTTAAGGCCAGGCTGGCCTACACAGTGAGTTAAGGCCAACCTGAATTACACAGTAAAACCCTGTCTCAAAAAAACCTGTTATAGGGGCTGGGGAGATAGCTCAGTGGAATAAGCGCTTCCCTGGCAAGCGCAAGGGCCTGCGTTCAATCCCCGGTTCCGCAAAAAAAAAAAAAACAAAAAAAAACATTATAGGGCTGGGGAGACAGTTTAGCATTCTAAGCGCCTGCCTGGCAAGCACAGGGAGCCGGGTTTAATTCCCAGTACCACAGGCTGTGCCAGCAACAGACCCCAAGGCATGCCATGCTGGTCACAGAAACTGGGCGTGGTGGCGCATTCCTGTACCAAATAAATAAATAAATAAATAAAAACTTGCTATATAGTTTTTAGCAAGGATTGAATCTCCTCAAAAAAAGTTCTGTAGCCAAAAAACTAAACATTTAAGAACAAACTTATTGGGCTGGGGAGATGGCTCAATGGAATGAGCGCTTCCCTGGCAAGCACAAGGGCCTGAGTTCAATCCCTGGTTCTGCCAAAAAAAAAAAAAAAGAACAAATTTATTTCCCATCAGTATTATAAAAATTTTAGATTTTTGAAACTTTCCCAAGATTGTCAATAAACGGTTATTGTAGTCTAATTACCAGCAACTTACCATCATTATACTCTTGGTGATGATATGAAACATGATACCTTCTCGGGTATGTTCCTCCTTTTCCAAATTTCTCAAAGATAGGGTTATCATAGTCTGTTGAGATATATAATGCACGTGTTACGCTATAAAAAGTCAACGTTTTAGTGCTGAGAAGCATATTTACAAGTACTATGAGTCTTTAAAAACTCTCCCCACCTCCCTCCCAGCCAAAACATTACGAGGATATAAACTTATTTTAAATATTTATAATTTGTATCTCTAACCTGAAAACTCTTGATGATTATCTGGGTAGCTCTGTGCCCTAGGCATTCGTGATTTTGGATAGGTCTCTCTATAAATAAAAAATGCCACATTAAGAGAACATATATAAATAAAACATGTAAAAGGTCTCAAGGCCATATTATCTGTATGCATGCATGTCTATGTATAAAGGAGCTCACTCAAATACTAACATAACTAAAAGACAAACTTTATATATATTTTTAAAATATTTATTTGGTACAGGGTCTTGCTACTCGGCTCAGACTTGTGCTAGGATTACAGGCGTGCACTGCCATGCCTGGTTTCAGTGGCCAACACAGCACAGGGCCAGTGTGACATGCAGTACTAAGGATCGAACCCAGGTCCTTGCACTTGCTAGGTAGGTGCTTAGACCACTAGGCTATCCCCCAGCCTTTCTTTCTAAGCACTTGTTTGGTACACATAGTCAAAGAACCTCACTTCTAAAGTTTGACTACAGAGTAAAGTAGTAAGAATGATAAGTTCTGGAATCATAGATGTTTAGAAACATTGCTGTTTCACTCTGAGTTCTGTGAAATCTTGGTAAGTAATCCTTCTAGGACTGCTTTTGCAGCTATATGAAAGACATAATGATTTCCAACTTAGCAAGCTTTTACAGGTCAGGTGTTCCTCCCAAATAGCTAAGTACTCCACTTATTTCTAATTTCTCTGAATTTGTAAGTATCTACTTTGTGATAGTCACTGACACAGACGGGTTATACATACACTGATATGAAGAATGTTAATGTAACTTCCCGAATAGTATACATTATCTTTTTAGAATTTGCTTTTATAGGGCTAGGGATGTCATTCAAGGGTAAAGCACAGGCTTCATATGCACAAAGCCCTGAGTTTAGCAGCACCACACACACACACCCCAAAGGAGAAGCCACCTAAAAACTTGCTTTAAGCAATAAGAGAAGAATGAACAGGTAAAGATTTGAACACTGGATGATTACCAAGACCAATGTCCTGCTGAGACCAGGGGAGGGCACACTTGTGACAAAAAATTCACAGATGCTCATGAGCCTCAGTTTGTTATTTCACAAAAGAAAGGCAGTTAACACAGATTACTTCTCAGGATGAATATAATATCAAACAGGTGAAACAATTCAAGGAGTATGTAAATCCAACAAATTAATGAAAACTTTGGTAACCGTTTCATAAGCACAGTTTTAAAAGTCAATATAGCTGTGCCGTTTCTGTGACTGAGACTGGGTGTGGTGGTGCACGCCTGTAATCCCAGCACTTGGGAGGCTGAAAACAGGAGGATGACCATGAGTCTGACCTGTGTAGTGAGACCCTGTACTAAATACATTAAAAAAAATAAATAAATAAATACATAAATTCTAAGTGCACATTTGCCTTCAAACATACAACTTCAGCAAATAGAAATACTCTAAATTTTATAATCAAGTATCATTTTTGAACACTATGAACAAGTATCAATTAACTACATTCTTCTCAACACACTACAAAAAGCTACTGATAATTCCACATGCTTTGTGGGTGCATATTTACCCACACATACTAAATAAAATACAAACAAGCCACACATGGGTGGTATACACAGGTAATCCCAGCACTCAGAGGCGCCTGAGGCAGTAGGATCACCTTGAGTTTGAGGGAAGCCTACATTACATAGTGATTTCAAGGCAAATCTAAACTACATATATAT